GGTGGGGGGGGGGGAAAATCAAACCAAACTGCTGTGTAGGAATTCCAAGAGACAACTGTCATCTGCTGATCAGTGTGTATACTCTTACTTTCAGTGACTGTACCTCCCCAAATTCCTTTTCACAGGATTAATTCCATTACCTCTACAGCCTTGGCTAAAAGGCTTACCCAGACTCTAACCTGAGTAGTTTAGAGATTAGACGTGTCCTCCTTCAAATGAAGAAAGGTACTGAAACTTCTGCCCTCGTTCATCATGAGTGTCCTCTAACCACTGTATTATAAAAATAGGGGAACTCTCTTTACCTCTCGGTGTTTTAAAACTAAGCAGCAGCCTGTCCTGCACTTTGAAAGTGTTTAAGCGCTTACCATCATCAAAAGGTTATGCCAAGAACTGGAACACAGAGCCCGCTTCAAATGCTTTGAAGTCCACCCCCACAGAAGGGGCAGTAACAGTTGCCAGCTTACTGTGCTGGCTGCTTTGGACCTGGAGTGAGTCAACCTGCTTTTCCATGCACAGTGTACAGGGACTGAGTACCTCACACAGCACATTTTATTCAGCTACAGAAGCCACTGGTTTGAAAGTCACAGGCTGCAACATGAAGCTTCAGGCTTGTAATTGATGTTTTCCTTCAGCCTGAATTCATCCCATCTACCACTAGACAAGTAAGTGCTTGTGTCAAGAACTGAGCTATCTCAGGTTTCCTGGGCTATGAATGGAGGGGATGAGAAAGTGACTTCCAGGTAATGACTCTGCATCTCTAAACCACTTTCTGAAGGTCCTTCTCTCCTACTTAATTATAAAGATGCCTAATGTGAACACCATCCTAATCCAAATATCTTGGTTAAGGACAGAAAAACCAAATCCACAGCAGCTCCTCTAGTCTTTTCAGGAGCCCCAAGCTCACAAAGTGCACGTGCTTCTCTCCACAGCCACAGCACTGCTGAACTTGTGCGGACAATCGCATTTGTGCCCCTGTGACACTGCCAGGTAGAAGATACACCATTGAATTATTTGTTTTCATTTCTGGAGAACAATCAGTAGAACTCCAGGAACCTGACTCTGGCCCATCTCAGTCTATTCACAAAGTATGCCACGTATGTGATTCAGTAGCATTTACCTGAAGTGAGTAGCTGTCTGCTGCCTTGTCACTGTCTGGTTTTCATTTCGGCTGCCACAATAGATTTTTTTTGCAATAGATAGTTTTTGCAAGGCCATCCTAACTCCCCACGGCAATGGCAACACTAACTATTTTCTGGAAATATTCTCAGTCATCCCCTTAGCATTCAGTTCTCTGCAGAGTCACAGGCCTGTTTACTACAGCTCACATCCTGCTCGTAATCAGACACGCATAACCATAGTATTGCTGTATATATGGTATTGCTCACCGCTCCCTTATCAGCATTGAGGTTGATATATGACTTCCAATGAATTGTTACAAACATACAACTATTATATCCCTGAAAGAGCAACTAGCCAAACCAATACGCTCTTTCTGGGAAGCAACTCACTAGCAGTTAACGGCTTTATGAATCTTACAAGAAACCTGGAGTTTTCCACAAGCATTGCGACAATCCACTTAAACCTCTTAATATACAGAAACACGGTTATGATTTAGCAGTCAATGTATATCCTCTTCTGTTGAAAACTAATAAAATATGAAATTGATTATAATCACTTTTTTCCAGTCTGAAAAAATGATCTCTGAAAGACAACACTTCCCTGTTGGTATGTCAACAGTGCAACTCAAAAACACTAATTATTTTGATATCCTTATGCCAGCCACATTTGAGTGACATGCTCACACAGTCTCAAACTGCATTCCTACCTACTGAAGTTCATGACACTCATTTGTCTGTGGGAAATCATTACACTGCAAAATACAATCAGAAATCCTCAGGGGGGGGAAACAAAACCACACTGGGACTAATCTGGCCGTATTATTCATATGCAATCACTTTAAGAAACGCTGTGTCAGCCCTAGCATTATATGAGTTTACACCAACTACGAGGTTGCTAATACAGCAGCTAGGTGACTAGTACCTCAACAGCAGGAAAGGATGGGCAAGCAACTATTTTATACAAGAGACCAACATTGCTGGTGCTCACTGATCTTAGCCCCAAGAAACGTGAGAACACCGGTTCTGCTCATTTCTTACACTGATCTTTCTTCCACAAACTGCACATTAGGCTTATGAACGGATGCACCCACACTCATTCTCTGTACACAAAGTCACTAGCTGCTGGTGCTGCCAAAAGACCAAAAAATATTAATCTTGCATGCTCTGAGGTGTTTCGCTCTTCACAAAGAATTTGAGACAGTCTGCAGTTGCTTACAGCTTGCCAGTGCTGCCTGTTTTGCTGTTCATAAGAGTACCGTGAGTCTCGCTGTTCCTACCTGTAACATGACTTCTAATAAAATCATAGACAGTGTCACTGTATTACAATTTAACCTATTTAGCACAAAGTATTGTAGGAATCGTTATGAAGACAGAAGACATTAATCTTATACTCTACCCACACTAATATCTTTCATAGATTTTTTCCTATGAAAACTTATAATTAAAAAATGTATTGGAATGCAGCATTAATTGTACTTGGCCTTCCCACCTAAAACATTAAAATAATCCTGTACCACTGGGGGAACAGAAGCCTTCCCCCAGAACACAGAATCATAATGTTCAGTTACTACAGACACCTGCTCAAACATGTACTCCTCTGAGGGGTTGTGAAGCACAGATCGGGAGGTGAATTTTAACAAATTCGCTTCAAGTTAACAAAATGTAATGGTGTATTCCAATTTACTATTACAGGTAACAGAATAGTGTATGAGTATAAATTTGCTAATATAGCTAATAAGATTAGAAATAGCTTCTAGTTTAAAGATTTCAATGTGTCAAAGACAAACATGTTAGGACCGACAACGTATACATGGTTTAAATATTTAAGTTCCCATTTTTCACATCTACGATATTAATGAAAGTCACTCATCGTGTTACATTCAGGCATAGAAACCTTCCTAAACTCCTGGATGATGCGTAAGATTATTTTCATGTACTGGGAAACAGAACACCTGTGAAATGAAGCGCAATTACAAAGCACACAGAAGCAACCATGTTACCTGGACACGATGGGCAACACTGGCCTGGATGTATGGTGGGGTTGCCACAATTAGGAACAGGGCAGGTGATCAAGGCACACATTTCCCGTCCACTGTGACAGTAACATTCCCTGCAGCCATCGTGCCAGCTCTCCTCATTCTCATGTCGGCGCCCATCCATTGACAGGCAAGAGCCTGTTTTAACAGGAGGCATGAGAGAAGCGGTTGCCTCTGCACAAAATCAAAGGAAAATATGTCCCAATAAACATGTGTTGCTTAGGAAAAAAACCCCACACCAACTTCATGCATGGATGGCATTTATTTTTAAAGCACACTTTAGACCAAGCAAATAACAATTCTGTCATTTATACTTAGAAGTAAAGTGGCAATACACAGGAAACAATAAAAAGGTGTATTGAAGGGGATGGTAGGATGTAGTAGATGGCATTTCCTTGGAAAAATACAACCACTTCTTTCTGTTGCACCTATACTGTTTTTAATCATACAGAAATGCAGGACTGCCTAAATAATATAGGAAAAAATAGAGAAATGGAATGGAGGGAAATAGCAGAAAGCACGAAGCATATTTAAAATGAAATATTTACATATTACAGGATATTAGATTGTATCTATCATGTGAGTAGCTGATAGCAAATAGAATATAAAAGCATTTACAAGAGCTAAGGATGGTCTTATACCATGAACGAAAAAAATCCCATGTTCTAATGGTGTCATGGTAGATACTGTAAATATTTCTTAAATCACCTACAAGAAATTATTTGTTTACATGACTATAACTGAGACATTTGGAAATAAACTGCTCTGACAACTGTATCCTTCACTCTAGCTTTTGCTGAGATGAGAATGCATCAGCTTGGATTGCTGCATTACTTGCACTCAGCCAGGACATGCAAGCAGTTGTTCTAGGGAGGATAAAGCCTCACTTGTATCTTAAGGGTATTTGTATTTAATTGCTGCAGGATTCAGCCTCGATATATTCTTTGTTAATCAGCAGAGTCAATTTGGAGTCCACCACTCCCTTCACCCACATCATTATTACGATGAAGGATTTAGGATCAGTCTGTCAGAGAACTGACCTGTTTTCAGTGGTATGTCAACCATATTCTGCTGACACTAGGATACATAAATGTAAGCTTACTTATATTAAGTTTCTTACTTTGTTTTCTATTTAAAAATGGATGCGGTATGAAGAGTTGTAATGTTTATATTTAATTTTACCATGATTAATTTTGGTTTTTTTTTGCCTTACTAACATGAAGGTCAGCAATTCTTCAGCTGTGGCAGATCTATCAAATGTGGTCTAAGAAGCACAAGGTACATAGTTAGCCTGATGCATGTTACCAGAATAAGAACCCAATACACTGAAATTATGTGAGTATACCATTTTGTGAACTGAAAAGAAAAAGCCATGGAATTAGGGTAAAATACTTCTTAAAACAGACTTCATCCTATCGTACAAACAGAAACACTATGAAAAAATCTACATTCAGTTACTACGCTTTTATACTTTAGTATCACATTATAGATTAATTCCTATATGAATTAGTATCACTGGACTACTGTCCTATATTAAAATGATTACTGACACATGAAAGTCTTAGATGGTAATACCCTTCCCTTCCTTAACAAATGAACTATCTGATGTAATCAAACTATTTTTCTCCTGAAATATTGTAAAGTATAATCCAAAATTTGGAGAAACAAACCAAGCATATAGGCAACTAATCAAAACTAACTTCACTGAGGTTGTGTTCACTTTCCTGTTTTTAATTGAAATTAGTGCAAAACATAATGCTTAAAGAAGAAACCAAATGCACATATGTAAAATGGAAATAACTGGACAACTAGAAGTACAGTTGAATGAAGACCCCATAACCCAAGGGGAAGTGGTTAGTGACCTGCTGCATCACTTTGACACACACAAGTCTATGGGGCCAATGAGATCCACCCAAGGATGCTGAGAGAGCTGACGGAAGTGCTCACTGAGCCACTTTCCACCATCTATCAGCAGTCCTGGCTAACTGGGGCGGTCCCACCTGACTGGAGGTGGGCAAATGTGACGCCCATCTACAAGAAGGGCCAGAAGGAGGATCCAGGGAACTACAGGCCTGTCAGTCAGTCTGACCTCAGTGACGGGGAATGTTATGGAGCAGATCATCTTGAGTGGCATCACACAGCTTGTACAGGACAACCAGGTGATCAGGCCCAGTCAGCATGGGTTTATGAAAGGCAAGTCCTGCTTGACTGACCTGATCTCCTTCTATGGCAAGGTGACCCACTTAATGGATGAGGGACAGACTGTGGATGATGTCTACCTAGACTTCAGTAAACCCTTTGACACCTTTTCCCACAGCATTCTCCTGGAGAAACTGGCTGCTCATGGCTTGGATGGGTGTACTCTTTGCTGGGTAAAAAACCAGCTGGGTGGCCAGGCCCCAAGAATTGTGGTGAATGGAGTTAAATCCAGTTTTGAGGCCCGTCACAAGTGGTGTTCCCAGGGCT